ATTTGAACGGCTTCAAAACCCCAATGTTCAGATCTCTCCGACTGAGAACCGTTTTGACCTGGAGCATGCAGACATCTTTCTAATTTTCGGGAAAATAGCAGGAACTGCAAGCACCACTTGAAGTGACCAAAGTCAACCAGTACTTTGGCGTGTGCTTCGCGCCCAAAGTGCAGTCATGCTGCCGGACGTAGTCTTTGAACACACCTCCAAAAATTCAAGGAGTAGTCCCGGAGGTTTTGGAACAATATACACATCTTGGAGTTGTTGTAGTGCGACAGACGAAATCAATGCACGAATCTCGCAGGTAAGGGTTGCGTTTGCTGATTTGCCCCACTAGTGTCAAAAATGTATCGCACCGAGCCTTAAAGGACACGCGCATCAACTAGAGTACGGGCCGTATTGTTGTACAACTGCGAGACTTGGCCAATTCGGGTGAATGATCAAAGAAATCTTCAGGCCTTTGACCAGCGATCATTAGAAAGTATGAATGAAGTGCGCTGAAACCAGCGGAACTGCAATGTGATCAGAAGACGGGTTTCGGTAAAGCTCACCTCAAAGAACGCGTCCCGCACTGAAAGCTCATGTGGCTAGGTCATGCCAATTTACCACCGTGTCGAATTCGAAGTGGCGGTAACGTGGAGGTGAACAGAATTTGACATACCAGAAGGGAATGAAGGATATGATTAAAAGTTTAACTGCCGTTAGCGCTGTTCGTCTTCCAGGATCGGGCCCACGTGAACGTCCCTGGCTGGGGACACTGGACAATATGGCGGTTAACCGATGTCAGTGACATCAATGCTATCAGCTTTTGTCCAGACTATCTGAATGAGTGCTCGAGGCGCAGTCACCTCGGCTGTTTGTGGTAGAGTATACCTTGGACATGATCACTGTCCAATTCCTTCCTGTCTAGGCTTGGGCAACCTGGCAGTATCCCAGCCCTCATGCTTCCTTCGGGTGGCATGGCAGCTAGGCACCGGTGGAGTGCTACAACTGAACACTTTCTTCTTTTTTTCTGATATAAGGCCTTATTGAAATGAATTAATACAGTTGTACGGCAGTAAAGCATCAGAGCTCTCATTTGGTGTTGCTGTCAGTGATTATGAGGATGTGGTTTCCCGTCCAAATGAGCCTGAATAAAAACCACTCAACACAGTCGTTCATCACAAAGAGGCATGCTCACATACGAAGCGAAATAGTGGTGCATATCGGGAACGCAAGGACTGTGTTATGGTGAGTTGTTTCACCGTATCCCTCAGGCAGATTACCTTCAACCAGTGCTCCGACTGAAATATTCCAGAGAATGGTACTGCGAGTGTATCCAAGACGTAATCATCGGTCAGGTCAAGTTGAACTATGTACCAGCTGTGCTCATGACCTACTTCCTACAGTGATGGTCAACAAAAAAATCTGGGTCAACGTCATTGATGTGTCCTTGCCTAGGAAGTAAACCAGCCAGTTGGGGGAGTGTTTCCTCTTCGGTTTGGAACAAAATCTGTTTTCTTAAGATGGGGGTGTCATGGGAAGAAAAAATCTGCGTGCGTGGTGCTCCATTGTTAGACGCTCACCGGAATTACCAGTGTTGCATGCGACAGCATCACTCTTGCTAAGATATCAAAGTCCAGATGTTCGCATCATATGGTAGCTGACAGCATCTGGCCAGAGATCAGCACCTTCAGCCTCCGCATAGATTAAACTGGTACAGTGTACGGATAGAAGGTAACAAGCAAGTCAGTCTTAAGCGTGCAAGAAGTGATCGCCCATGTTTGACTGAGGTTGGACACAGTACAAGCCTACGCATTCCAGCAAGCGTTACATTCCAGCTTGCGGACGACGCACGTGACCAAGGAGAGACGAGTGCTAATTTGCTTTGTAACATTGATTTATAACAAAACTGAGGCTTCTAGCCGGCTCGTCCCCCACGAATGGTAGAACCGAAATTGTTGGTGGTGAGATACAAGATGCACGTAACGAGACAACCGGCAAAAGAGCCAACTTGAATTTGAACAAATCCCACAAACCTAAGGTGACGAAACCACCCATACAGATAGGACAACGATGTGCTGGATACGGATACCAAAACAGTGTTTCCTCCTACGGCGAACACCAACCAATAAACAACAGAATCAGTCACTCTGCGAGGATGGTCAGTTTTACTAAACTCGCAGTAATCAAGGAACTATCATGCCGACTATTTTGTATTTTCCATTCACACAACCGAACTTTCCGCCTTACTTGGATTGGCTGGACATCAGTTTATCACAATAAACATAGGTAAAGTCACATCAAGCAACAAGTGAAGCTTGAAAGTTACCACTAGGACGGAGGTGAACAGGATAAAGATGTAGGACTAGGCAGATAACCGACCACTGAAGTCTGAAATATTCCTTTCACCTAGAGACAACCGATTGAAGAGTTTTCAGCAACCGCATAAACGGCATGTTACATCGTGTCAACTGGAACATATGGTGGCCTGGTGCAGCACATTCAATCGAAAAAAAATGAAAAAAAATCATTTGCAGACCAATTCGAGTAGTGCATTACAAAAGACCATCAACTGTAAGAAACGTCACATCTGACATAGTAAATTACCGAAATCATCTCAAGGTATTGCTTGCGATACGGTAATGATATTCCAATAGAGGCGTAATGCCCAAACACGTTGCTCAGTTATTTCAATCTAAGATTCCCTAACTGGGACAGGTCGCTACGGAAGAACAACCAATGCTGCAAAATAAATTCACAAAACATTCCCCTAAATCGGGGGCAAGTTTTGAGAAGACGTGAGAAATCCAGTATCGTCTAAATAAGGTAACCAAACGCTTAGCGGCACAAAAAGATGATGTGATAAATGGGAGTAACCTGCGACAAGGCCATCCACTTTAAAACAGTTCGTGAATCGGGAAACGTAACTTAGAGCAAAGTTCCAAATGTGACCGGCTAATTCCAAGAATCCTTCGAAAGAGTAGCAAGCTGAATCGCTTAATAACGGCTCAGTCGTTTGGATGTTAGCTTATTTGCACTGGCCCAAACCCAAGATGTTCACGCTATGATGAAGCAAACATTCCTTTCTCCCAACACGGCACTGACAAAAATAATAAACCCAGAGGATTTTTTGTTCATCATTATCTGAAAATGCATGGACAAGTTATGCGCGTTTCAGAGAGAAAATTGGTGGTGAGTTAAGGTCATTGTCCTGCTACGAGCGACGACGGGGACCTAAAGCCCAAAAATGAGTAGAACACGCACATACCTGACGTCTCTTTAAGGCACGTTGTGGCACGTGCCAACTATGGTGGAGCCATAGTGTCCCTAGCAAAACTAAACATGCAAACGGAGAGTAAATTTGAGGATTTGACAAACGCTTAAACGTGCTATTCCACGCAGTCATCCAAGTGCGTTTTCAATCTCGGAAAGCTGTGATGATCGGAGACAGTGAAGCGAGGGGGGCACGTTACGCTATTTGATTGTAAACTGGCATATAATTTGAGTAATTGTGGGGGCACACATGGACCGATACCAAAAGTGAAACAGGCTATACTGTACCCGAAGAGTATACGATAACTCACGGATGTTATTCGGTCTACGAAAGCCTATGACGGGCTGTGTCATAAACTAATAGCTCTGCTTTAAGATCGATCGATTAGACTAATACGTGCAAGGACTAAATCACAACAACTGGGCATTGTTTCACTCAGTTCGAAATCCCGAAATGCATCTCATTAGTTCACGTAACTATGATGTGTAAATAGATCCACCCAGTGTTGACACACTAGACAGTAGGTGAACGGTAACAAGTAATAAGTGCGGTACAAGTAACTCAACTTTGATAAGTGAAGCAATTCATGCTGAATACTATGGAATAGGGAAACCTGATAACAATAAACCAAACGGCCTAAAGAAGGATGACAGAGAGGTAAAGAACAAAGAGACTGGTTTCAAAACCACGGAAAAGGTAGCACAGTATCTTTTTCAGGCCATCAGTCCGTAGCCGATTGGTTCTATTTCACATGGGCTCAAGTAGAGAGAATGTTTTGGAATGCAAACAGAAAAGACGTTTCTTCGAAACTAACTACTTTGCACACAACGCCAGATTTTTTCAGATATGAATATGGACCCAGGTCTCAAGTGTGGTTTCTACTGTGGCGACAACGTAATTGTACCTAACCATGACTAGGGTCACGATTATACACGTGCCCGAAATTCTGTCGTACAGCCTGCATAGTCGTGAGTGACGACGGTCAGGTTCGGACATCTGTTTGGCATTTAAGAAGCCTTGTTTATTGGAACAGCTTTTATACTTCCAAGAAAGCATAATCATCATGATCATCCAGAGCATAGTATTGATGTTCGACAATGATGCTTCGCTGCTTTATTGAGAAGAAAAGAATGAAAGTGGATGAGGAGGGAACTCAGTGCTAGTCTACCGCGATCATCCCGAAGTGTCTACACTTCTAGAAACTCATTCAGCCAACCTACATAGGAACTGACAACAAGTACTCCATTGACATCGATTAGCACCCATATTGTGTAGCGCCTCCAACCTTGCAAAGAGGGATCACGCGGACCTCATATTGGAAGGTCAGTCGCACCGACGGTATCCGGACCTTTCGTAATACACTTCATTCCCCACTGCCAGACCAAAGGTTGGCTACCTCTCTGCTACATCACTCTGAACTTAACACGGAAAACAGCACTCCGTTCGGCAAACGGTGATTCGACATGCGCAATAAGTGGCCTAGCCTCACAGCCTTTTGCTTCTGGACAGGCATATTACCTTAAAACAGAGTTGAAAATGCAATAGCCAAATTTCAATAAATGGCAAATTCCAGAAGAGTGTCTCGAATGTTCTGACCAACATATGGCTGATATCTCATCTTTCATCAGATATGATTAATTAGTTGTCTAACCCGAGGAACGCAGCCCACATTTGTATAACACTTGGAACGGACACTAAAGTCTACCAACAAAATACCGGCTGTGAGCGACGTAGTATAACTTACCAAAGCGACAATGGCACACTGTGGTGCCAACAAAGCAGTGCTGAATAGTCCACGAAGGAAGCCGTGGACATCCGAAGCCTTTGGGTTGTTTATAAAATCCGGTTTAGGAATGGCCACCGAGTTTTCGGATGAGCACTGATGAATAGAGAAATGCAGTGAAGACAATTTAGATTTCTACACGGCATCTTTAACAGACTGAATAAACCAACGCACGAAAGTTAAACTAGTCACTTTGCAAACGTAGGCGATAACCTAACAAGCTATAAGCCTTCATGCAAACATTACTCCAAGACCGATTGGGTCTTAAATCTGTTGCAAACTGCCATTCGGTCAGATTCGCTAGAAAAAGTCTGCGCCGTCGAACAGATGTTGCGTGAACGACATGCTAAGTGCGCATTGTTGACAAACAGACAGAGCCTTAACTATCGAACACCATGTCAACAATCTGGTACATGGTAGAAAATCAAGTCACAAATGTGTAAACACCAAACGGGTGAGTGTGCGGATTGCATTGTTCGCGCGTTCGATATCACCGTGTCCTACACGGGTGGTGATACCTTGTCCGTTGCCCGCACGAACTGGTGCAGTGCATGGAGCAGGTCTAAGTAAACAGACTAAATTCAGGGTGACGGGGAGTTAAAGGATACTTTGAATAAATGCAACACCAGAACTGCAAAGCAGAGTGCTACTATACGGCAAAGATGGAGATAATTCATAATCAGGTTGTTTGTGGTGAAAAATCGAGGCACATTTGGAGGGATCAGAGTAGTTCGCAATCAGTCACGTACAAGAATTAAATCTAAACTGTTAGTTACAGTGAAAGAAAGTGGACAGATCAGAACGTCATACGGTTGGAATGTCCACCCATGTTTCAGGTCGAGATAAACCAAAACTGGCACCGTCGAAAAAGTCTACTAAATTTCTATGTAGGCTACATGCATGTTTCAGTCATCAAAAGTTACACGATTCCTAAACGCGATCCGAACTTTGAAATGCACTAAAAAACCAGGAATACCAGGAATCGATGATTATTTTACCACATTATCTGGAGACAAATTCCTCTGCATGAGAAGTGTTATGAGGCAGCGAGTAGAAGATGAGTTCAAATCCCATGTACTGAACAGGCTGTCATGGAGCTACAATAATAGTGGCCAGCGGTAATTGTTAATCGCATGGCGAGCGTCAAACACCGAACCCATCGAATTCCGTCGTACAAAAAGGCACAGCGAGAATGCCTGGCAAAACTCGACCCCAATAGTTACAACATGGGAATAGCGGCCATTTTCCAGAACCTTTGCGGTTACATCCCATTTGAGTCAATACGGTGCTACCCCACTAAGCCGACTATCCCCAATGAAGATCGAAAATGGCCGCTGGCACAGGGCACCGTCATTAGGTGCTACGTTCTTCTGCATCTTCGTACAGATGATGTTGAAACAAGAAGGAAAAAACATTTTTTCCAAGTGTTTTGTTGTCACTTTGAATCAAATAATCATCACGGGTATGTTGCTTAATCCTTAAATCCTTCGATGGGACAGCCAAATCGTACTTGAAGATCGTAATCTCGACCATAAAATCAATACCTTTTTTGGCACGAATGTTATCCGTTTTATAGCTAACTGTGGCACCTTTATTGCTGAAATGTCTACTTCTTCTGAGACCTCTTCATTCCCGTTGAAAGCATCTAGGTTTTCCTCCCCGGAGTGGTCGATACATCCGCATCTAAGCAATGACAAATAAATGAGCATTTGGACCTACAAAACATCGTACATTCCAAGATAATAATAATAATCGTTTAGTTGTAACACCCTTTCGGCGCCTAGCTGCCATGCCACCCGAAGGAAGTAAGAGGGCTGAGATATTGCCAGGTTGCCCAAACCTATACAAGAGAAGCCAAGACGCAGAAGTTAGGTTCGAACCCTGATCTTCCGGTTAGTAAATTAACGCAGAAATGAGTGAGAAAACCACATTTTTGAACACGACATGACGGCGGAGATCTGCACCTTGTTCCAGAATAAACGCACCAAGAAAATGGATTCACGTTAGCCATGTGACCTGGTCATGTCAGTGAGGGCGTCCAGCCATTAAGGGATGGGCTGCTGGCACTCAGACCTCGCAAATTTCCTGCGTTAACACGACTAAGGCCTGTTGTTGCTCTTTTTCCAGATCGTTGGTTGCATGCCTCTCGCTCCTTACAGCCAGAGAAAACTTAATCAGACAGGACGGCATGGGAAAATTGGTTGCTCGACATACGAGGAACTTGACTGGACAGCCTTATGTAAGCCTCATTGGAGTAAACCCTATCTGTTGCTTACGCGCTTTTGTCGCACTACACTATTGCTGAATCGACGTTCAGTGATAGATATGCGACGCCTCGAAGGCATCTACAGTCACAAGCAGGCGTTTCATTTCCGTGCTACACACAACAGCAACCCTTCACTATCGAAAAGTTCTAACATTAGGACACATTGCAAATCCTTCGGTTTGTTACCGTTATGCCTCCTCCATAGGTGTCTTGACTAGACAAAAACCATTAGGGTTTTAGAAATTCCGGTGCTCGTTTCGTCTATATTGGCGTCTACAGAGCTGCAACCTTACCCATACAGTCGGGATAGCTCGGTAGGTAGGGTGCGAAAGTACTAAACCAAAGACCCAGACCTAGCCTGTCGACTGCTCGCCTCGGCTCGGAAGGCCTGGTAAGACCTCATCTCTTCGACCTTCTCCGTGTTGTATAGCAGATACGCACCGAAACACTGCCAAGGCTGAGCTGTTTTTTTTTAAGGTAAAGCCAGTAAGATGATAAACTTTTTGCAACATAGAATATGTGGCATAGATACTTCTCCCGTACAGATCGATATTCGGATGGACTTATACTCCTGGCAGGATTCATTTAACCAGCTCCTGTGCAACGCGAATTTCCCGAATAATCAGCATGGCACTTCCCATAGCTAACTCAGTCCGCAACTCAAATCGATGGTATGGATAAAATACAGACTGCCATGCAATCTGGAACACCTGGATAGATTCTGACCGCACACATCTCGTCTAGCCACGTAGAAACCAGCTGATACGAATTTAAGGCAAAAATATCAATACAGTGTTTAACCATGTCAAGTCACAAACGAATAAGACATCTTGGATGCTGATACTGATTTGTGCGGTGTACCCAAAAGGCCCCCGATCAAACATCGTAAAGGAAGGATATGGGCTTACTGGAGCTTCGCAGAGGAATTCCTGTTACTACAGAACACGATCCACGCCAGATGTTGCTGAGTGTAATCAGTTGTGGAGAAGCTTGTTAGATCCGGAAAGCCGATGAAATGGGATGAGCACAGGACGAAAATACTCGAGGATTGTTTCAGATGACACATACCAAAGGCCCATGAAACCTCAGATAAGTGAAACCACCAAGGGCAATTGATAGTCCATTGATATCCAACAAAAAAAAACTTCGAACGCTGGGCCGAATGGTTCGATAGAAAATTTTACTGACTGGCTGCTACTATTCAGTCGAAATGCAAACTGGCATTGAAGACCTAGAATACAGTGAGAGTATGATGTCAACGTATATTTACACGCACGTCATACTCTTCGAATAGCGTGCGCGCTCAAAACAGCCTAAATAAAGAGTTCAGACTTTATACTAACTTGGAATGGGTGAAACCCGTAATTCGCTTTAGTTTGCATCAACGGATTAACTGTCCTCACTACTTACGTCGGATGTTATTTATCGTGAGATGGAGGACAAATTTTGAGCACTGTCGGTTGAACTAGTTGTTTGGTTAAATGTCGATTGTGCGGGTGTGTGGTCTGCACTCTCATGTCATCATCATCATCATCATCATCATCATCATCATCATCATCATCATCATCATCA